CTTTATGAAAATATACTGCGATATCTCGAATATCATGCCAACTGAATCATGAGACGGCCTGTGTGCAGCACCTTCAGTTGTAGAATATCATAAACGAGAGATTCAGTTGAGTCTCTCGTGAAAACCAAATTAATTTGCAAATGAGTGCATTTTCGAAGCCTCAATTATTTTGTAAGCACTTGGGACAAATCTCGATCCATGAGTGTAAGGCACAAAGTGAGTGGTTTTGGCCAATCCAAGTGCTGTATGTATCGTCCTGACTTTACTTTGAGCATTGCTCCAGGTAAGCAGTTGAGTATTGCAAAAGGCAGTATTTAGGCACTTCTGATAGCCAGCATACTTTCACTTGCGAACTGTCTGCTACATCGCTAGTAAGCCAAAAACCTCGCATGTATATCACCCCCTGGAATGTCTCCCGAAAGAACGAAAGGTATCAGAATATTACGTCAGATTTTCGAAGAATCATTTCAGTTTTGTGTGTGGATTTTTCTACTCTGGGTAGAATATACGCTCTGTTCATTTAGCAGTCGTGAACACATTTGACCGATATATATATATATATATTGGTCAGCTGTTTTATCTGAGCCGTTGAAGGCGATCGCGTTTGACCGTTTACAGTTTGGTATACATCTGGAAAGACCAGTAACTGAAGAGACTGTCAGTATGACAAGCAGAAACGTCATAAGTATTGTGAATGTGCACTGTCTACAAACATCAAAAACCCGATTGAAATCTGCCAATACTACAGCTGGGTTGGCCTTGCCACCTAATATCTTTTTACGGCCTCATTAGCTCATTTTATGCCCTCACTATCCTTATAACCCGAAGACATTCTCAGGGGTACGTGCACAGTAGAAACAGCAATTCCAGCATGCTACCAATCAAATTTCACAATGCCAAATGCTTTGTGCTTTAAATTTGCAGATTAGATCGAAAACTGTTACCAGACGTTATTCACTGTTGAAAACATTGGCCAGCTATTCGTTTTCTATGGACCGTGTCGTCAGAATATTTTGCTCGTCTTCAATAATATATTCTAAATTCTTTTCCCAATCGAAGTTCCATGTAACCGATGATTTGTGTGAACCTCTGGCTTCCGGTGGATTAGTCATCTAAGGTGATATATTACAAGTGCCTCGCGAAGCAGAAGAATGCCCATTATATGTATCAGCACTTACTTGCATTCGGCAACTTACCAACCCAACACCTGTTTTCCGAAAAAAAAACAAAGGGAAACAATGCTTTGTTGC